ACCAACCCGTCTTGAGCGAGCGTGGTGATTAATGCTCTAACCTTCTCCATGTGAGAACGAGGCCTTTGCTCAGCTGTGGGCGTCGATAGGCTGATGATTCATGTAAATATTGCGACTATTCTTATTATGTACAGTGTCCTGTATCTCATATATATGTCAATCTTCATCCCTACTAATATTATAAATGCGAAAGTAACTCTGTCTGTCTGTTACGCTTTCACACCTAAACCACTGGACCGATTTTAATGAAATTTTTTGAGTGTTTTTAAGGGGATCTGGGAATTGTTTAGATTCACAATTTTCTCCGCTGGACAATGTTTTTTTAATTAATTAGTAGTTGTTGATACAATCGTTTTTTTGACATTAGATTTGACAACTAACTAATATGTCAATCATTCTGTCGCACTTCAAAACACGGAGATTTATAGCTTTAATAGGTGAACTCCAAAAATATAAATAAAAAACGTAACAGATATTTCTTGATTATAGGGAGATACGAAGTTTGCCGGGTCTTCTAGTATTATATATATATAATTATATATTTTTTCTAATCTAACTCACAGCACAAAGTAAATTAATGTCTCTTTGTTCGCGTTTCTCTTAATATGCAAATAATATTTTTGGCTACCATCATAGGAAGTGAAATTTTGGATGCTAGTTAAGGAAATGGAGAATTTATTAAAGGAATTTATATGTTTATTAATAATAATATATATTGACTATGAAAAACATATGTTACTTATATACTATGTTGAAGTACTAAGATCTCTTCCATACAAACATTTATATATGTATGTATATGTTAATGGTCATATAAATATAAGAACATATAAATAAAAGTTATAAAACATATAATGTAAATAATCAAAAATATATCTTATTATTACTGAACAAAAATATTATACGTATATATTTATTAACTAATAATTATTATTCTATGTATAAAAAATCATTAGCCCAAACATGTATTGATTTTGATGTAACTCACATCTTCTCGTAGTTAGTATGCTCGAGACGGGATTTTAGTTTAGTTTATAATCAACAAGCTTTCCGCCCGCAGCTTCGCCCGCGTGGAGTTTGGTTATACCCCTTTTCCAAGAGAACCTTTCAAAAGTCTGGGATAAAAACTATCCTATGTTCTTTCTTAAGGTCAACTCTAGCTCTGTACCAAATTTCATTAAAATCAGTTCAGTGGTTTAGGCGTGAAAACGTAACAGACAGACAGACAGAGTAACTTTTGCATTTATAATATTAGTAGGGATACCTCTTTTTAGGTGAGTGTTTATAATATTTTGATTCCGTCATCCGCCAGCTGTTAGTGACTTAAAATACCGAAATAAATCACTGATTTTATCTATACATACATACACACATACCTACTAATATTATAAATGCGAAAGTAACTCTGTCTGTCTGTCTGTTACGCTTTCACGCCTAAACCACTGAACTGATTTTAATGAAATTTGGTACAGACATAGAGTTGACCTTGAGAAAGAACATAGGATAGTTTTTATGCCAGTCTTTTGAAAGGTTCTCTTGGAAACGCGATATAACCGAACTCCACGCGAGCGAAGCTGCGGGCGGAAAGCTAGTATATATATAATTATATTTTTCAATACAAATACCAAAAATAATATATAATCTCGACCTCTTTCCAGTAAATAGGACATTACCTTCTTAAATCCTTGAGAAATTATTTTAAACCGAATGCTACAGAACTAAATATAGCTAAGGATTTTATAACATATATATATGTTGTATGTATGTCTGTCGCCTCGATACGTGGACATATATAGTATATATGTACGGTGGAGACTAGATATAGTTTAGGATATCAGTTGTACGAAAAATACGCACATACATATAAAGAGTTTCCCAAAGAGGGTTGATGTCAGGCAGGCGGCCGGTCGTAAAAACAATTAGCCAAAACTATTCACAACATGTAAGGCAGACCCTGGCTAAAGCTGGGAAATTGCCAGGAAAAAGATATATATAAAGAGTATTGTTTTTTAATATATGTATTTCTACATTGTAAAAAACTTCAGAAATGTAGAGAATGTATCGTTGTATGTATATACATATAATAAAATTTAAATTTTATATATATATGTACGTAGATATAAAATAAGATTTATATGTATATAAAATGATATCAAAACGTATTATTTTTTTGTGTTAAATTATGTCTTTTGATCATACAAATTAGATTACAAAATTATTTTCTCAAATAAACATAGGTACATATATTTATGTAATGTACATAAATATAAGCCTTTTCTTCTTCTACCTGGCTATTTCCCAGCTTTAGCCAGGGTCTGCCTTACACGTTGTGAATAGTTTTGGCTAATTGTTTTTACGACCGGCCGCCTGCCTGACATCAACCCTCTTTGGGAATGCATTATTCAGTGATGTCTAAATACTCTTATAAAGTACATATGACTCGGAAAAATCACATTGGTACTTGCCAGGATCGAACCCGCGCCCTCGTGCATGAGAGGCGAACCTTTTAACCACTAGGCCACCACTGACTTAAATATATTAAATCTTAGTAGAAAATGTTATAAAAATAACATAATTGGAAAATATCTATCAATCATGTTTAGTAGTTTTCCTTTTATGGTAGTTCTATGGTGTACCTAATATGGTCAAAAGATATAGAAGGTTTTATTACAAGGTAGGCTAGAAAACTATACGTACATACAGACATATATATATATATATATATATATACTAGCTGACCCGGCAAACGTTGTTTTACCATATAAAGTAGGGGTTGGTGATAAAAAAGTAAAAAATTTGGAAATGTATGTATTTTATAAACAAAAAAATTCGTAAGAAAATTTTAAAAAATTAAGGGTGAATGACCCTTCTAACTTAGGTGTATGAAAAATAGATGTTGGTTAATTCTCAGACGTATTCAATATGCTCATAAAATTACATCAAAATCGGTCTAGCCGTTACGGAGTTTTCTAACAGCGCGACACGAGAATTTTATATATAAGATATAATATTATTACTTATAACACAATCCGTCAATACCAAAGGTCAATGACCCTGTTATTTGTAATTCAAATAAACTGTGGATCGCGAAATTTGGCGTTTGTTTTTTATCTAAGAGTTGAAGGTCGTTAGCAAGCTCAAGATCAAGTGCTTGGAGATTTGATTAAATATATATACACACACACACACACACACACAAACAAACACACAAATATATATATATATACAGACAGACATACATACATATTATATGTATATATATAATTTATATGTAGAGTGAAAAAAATAAATATAAAATTATAATATACATATGTATATATGTAGGTTATACTGAATCATTACTTAAAATTAATTTTCATAATATAAAATTAACTAATATTATGTATATATTTGGTAATATTTCTCAAAAATATCTTAAATTAAATTCTATATATATTATATATACATATATAAGTGCAATGAGAACAAAAGCTACATTAAATATCATTTATATAAAGAAACATCCGAAAATACTATCCTTTATGGCATTTTGTAAGTCTTTGGAATGACACGAGGCCGTTTGCCCGTGGAGCACAGCCAACGTAAATAAAGATTTAAAAACACAAATATACATTATATGGCGGGAAAAATGTAAAAAAAATGATTTATTTCGCGTTAATTAAAAGTAATAATATTTCCAAGTGAAACTTGTAACAATAGTGAATACTTTCTCACTTTCTAATCGTATAAATATATGTATTAAACTAAATATTAATAATAATACATTTATTTCGTAAACAGTTTAAAAATAACATTTGAAACACACAAAGAAACTGCGTTTTATATTTTAAACAAAGAAATCGATTGCAGCTATGTAATATGTTTCTTAAAATTGTATTTAAAAATAGACTTAGATTTATACATACAGCCAATGTCTGTACATTTAATTAATATATACAACCTCTTTAGTCATTAGAAAATTAAAAAAAAAAATGAAATACGTATTTAGCTTTTAAGATCTTTCTTATTAGAGGTCACCTAATACTGGTCATTGCACGAATGCAAATACGCACCAGTCGTCCGGCGAACGTCGTTGGGTACGGACGTATATGTACAGACGCTCGCGAATTACGCGGGAGATTTAAAATAAGATTCGCGACCAATCACGATCGTTTTGATTACGAGTGTTCCAAATTCGAATATAAAGTTAGTTGTTTTGAATTACGCGGGAGATTTAAAATAAAACTCCCGACCAATCACGATCGTTTTGATTTCGAGTGTTCCAAATTCGAATATAAAGTTAGTTGTTTTGAATCACGCGGGAGATTTAAAATAAAACTCCCGACCAATCACGATCGTTTTGATTTCGAGTGTTCCAAATTCGAATATAAAGTTAGTTGTTTTGAATTACGCGGGAGATTTAAAATAAAACTCCCGACCAATCGGGATTGTTTTGTTGTGTGTTCCAAATTCGAATATAAATTTAGTTGTTTTGATGCTCGAAGCGAATTCGATTTTTAAATTTAGTTCTTTTTTTGTGTCTTCACGTACGTAAGAATTGTTCGAAATTTAAATTTTCCATAGTTTAATTTCATTTCAGTACTAATTAGGTGTGATGTCAAATGTTAATGTTATACAGTATTAGGTCCGTCAATGTAATTTATATGTGCATACATTTGTTTTATAGTTGACGTGTTTTTTTTTTTATTTTTGAGACTGCCGTTTTTCAACATACATCCTATAATCCAAATAGGTCCAACTAGTGCCACACTTGGCTTGTCGCCAAATAAAAGTGAAAACTATTAAGTGACAATGAGTGTAAACGAAATGCTAACGGAAATTAACAAAAATGTATTAAAAATATCGTGACGGCGCACCAAAATGTCGCCCGACAAACGCAAAAGGAAGACAAGTGATAATCATATATCTCATAGGACTTGATTTAAAGTGATTATATATAACCTACATGGTTCCGATCTCATTATTATAGTTATAAAGACTGATAAATTAAGTTGGTGACCATGATCGCGCTCAAGAAGCTGTACGGAGACGAGCTGTTGCGGTTGGCGCTTGTGCTTAGCTTGCTCAAGAACCCCGAGGAGTACCACGAGCTGGAAACTCAACAGCTCGCTGGACTTCATATAACCAATGGCACTGATTGGTCCTTGGAGCACGAAGCCAGGACTTTGATAAGACCACGCCATGTACACCCGAAATCCTTGGACCATATATTAATAAATTACGAGAGACAACTCTTCGAAGAATTAAACTCTCTAGGGAGATATAATTATTTGGAAATTAACGACAGGCCGTGGTACAATCAACCTGTGTACACATATCTACTAAACGACGTAGCCACGGATACTGTTACACCAGCTCTAAATACAGAATCACAAGAAGATAACGTATCATCTGACGAAAATGTCGCCCAAGAAGTCAAAATCGAGGAAGAGAAAGAAGAAACTCCAGTAGTGACCCTGTCAGCGGATTTTATGCAAAATAACACTGTAAGCGATATTTTTGCGGAACTAGCTTCCAGATCTTTCGACGTAAACGAATTTTTAAATCCGGATATGAATATCAAGAAAGAAGATGATTTGATAGTCAAAAAGGAAATAGACGATGTTTTTAGTGATAACGCCATAGATTACGTTCCGTACTTCACGGCTGGATCGGAAAAGATTGAGTTTGGTGAAGCTAATTCCGTTTACAATCAGAACATAGCTGATCTACAAGATTACGAGGAGTTTGATGTGAAAGAACTTAATTTGGAACATTTAGATGTCAAAACACAGCAGGAGAACCTAGAACAGTATTTACTGGAAAATACTCCATTAGATTCGGAGGTATACGAATTAGCGCCGATGTTTGAAGAGGAGATGATTATTAAGAGGGAAAGAGCTAGCACTAGTTTTACTTCAGCGAGTTCCAGTGGTGTGAGCGAGATGGATGCATGCTCCAAGGATTTGGATGTGAAATTGGAACCGGATGAGGGGCACCACAGTGGAGAGGAGCTTACACAGGAGGTGAGTCAGTAGTTAGTAGTCAGTAGTCAGTAGTCCCCAAAATCCTTCCCCTAATTCCTTAATTCCCAAAAGAGGGTTGATGTCAGTGATGTCCTAGTGGTTAAAAGGCCCGCTTCTCATGCATGAGAGCGTGGGTTCGATCCTGGCAAGTACCAATGTGATGTTCCGAGTCATATGTACTTTAAGAGTATTTAGACATCACTGATTAATGCATTCCCAAAGAGGGTTGATGTCAGACAGGCGGTAATAAAAACAATTAGCCAAATTATTCACATATAAGGCAGACCCTGGCTATAGCTGGGAAATTGCCAGGTAGAAGAAGATAGTAGTAGATTGAGGGTAGATTGGTTTTTGGATCATTTGGACCACACAGGTGGATTTTTTGAATGATTTTGGTATAATGAATGTGTTTGTTTGTTTGTTCCGTAAAACAAAAATAACGAAATTTAGAATTAATATTATGTTTTTATTAAGCCAGCTGTAGCATTGGAATTACATAGTTGATTATTTTTGAAGTCTTATCTCTTTTTTATTAATTCACAGAAAATAATTCTACATTAAAAATCTATTAAAATGAAAATATATGCACATTGTAAATGTTAAAAACAAAACTGAACACAAATTCAAAAATATTAATGTAAAAATTAAGTCATGAGAAATTTAATTGTATAAAATTTAAAATCATCATATTTTATTGAAGAAAAACGTAACTACTACTACTACTACAACTACTTTTAGATGTATAGGAACATAAAACAGGAACAGAAGTGTCACTTCCTCCACGAACCGTCCCTATTCGCATGTTGACGGTGCCAAAATTCACATTTTCCATATTTTTCGTTTCTGACATAATCACGTTTGTAAGTCTGTGTGGACGCATCTTGTGTAGAGCATGGCTCCGGGAACACCTTTCTCTGGTAGGTCCCCATCAGGGGCGGCTTGTATTTACCACCATTGGTTTTGTTGATGCTCTTATTATTTTTATTGGCATCACCGTTGTCCATTTTGATGGGTTTTATTTGATTTTCAAGTATACTTTTCTTTGGTTCAGTTTATTAATCACACACTTTAACTTGTTATAATAAATGCAAAATTGACGGAGGTGTTATAATTAACTAATGGTATCAACTGTGATCCGAATATACTATTATGCCCCGAGTTGTTGAATTTATATTGTCATGTGGCATCTTTAAGATTATCTAATCATTGTTTACAAATAAATCTACAATTGTATGCGTCCTTAATCATTAAGATTTTTGTATGCGCACATAATCATTAAGATTTCTGTATGCGCACATAATCATTAAGATTTTTCATACGAATTGTAATTTACTTTTAATTTGTTACGCAATAATTTACACATGATTATTTATGTATCTTTGATTGTAAACACTTTTATTCCAATTGACCTTCATCATTAAGGCAATCGGTCCGATTACATTGGATACGAATCCATCTTTAAGATGGATAGCTATATAAAATCTATAAAGGATTATTTACCACCAAGATCATCACCATCGTTAAAAGAAACAAAAAAACAACGATAACAATGTGAATCAAGATGATTGGGTGACAATTCAGAATTTAACTATGACGAAACGGTGAGCTTCAATGCCGTGTGCATAGACGGTCTATGCTGTGTAGGTAAAAGTACGTAGAATGATCAAAGCCAGAGCTCGGTACACTGCAAGGAACAGTCACCCCAGCCCCTGCATGAGCTACCTATACGATTACATTAAACTGTACGACAGACTGCGTAATTACGTATAATTATTAATAGATAAAACATATTAAATAATATAAATTATCGATAAAAATAGATTTCATGTACATTTATGTAAACTTGATTATAATTTTGAATTTGTGTGTGCCTGACTGCTACTTTCGTAATCAAATTCTGGGTGGGCACGTTAAAAAAAACTTACAAAGAAAAACACCTTAGTGTATATTGAACGTTCATTAGTGTGTCTATTTGTTTAATAATATCCTGTTTGTTTATAATTTTCAATACTCTTGATGTTTTTTGTTGCTTTCGTAGAAGCAAGCATCTAATTGATTATAAAATTGAATATTTTCCAATTACATTCAACAACAACAACGAAAATAAAACAATAATGTTCTAATATATTCTCTCGATGAGCAAAAAACAACCAATCACGTATCGATTACATTCGTCATTATACTCTAAAACCCCATCACGTATAAAAATACAATTTTAATTATTTTACAATACACAGAAAAACACAAGTTGTGACTCTCATCGTCTTTGTTTGAGTTTAATCATATTATTTAAGTGTTTGATTGTTAATCTTTTGAAATCTAAATCGTGTTAAATGCGATACACTTGAATTGTCGTTTGTATTAAAAATTATTCTTTTTATTTATCACTTCCAACAAAAAACTTAATTGGTAATTAGTGATAAAATTACACTTATAGCAAGTTTCCTGTTATCAGAACTTACAAAGTGCAATGCATTTAATTTTATTCTTTACATGTGTGTTAATAATTAAAATTCAATTTTTTGAATGGGTGCCATATTGATAATTTATAATACCAATATATCGGCATTGAAAGTAATCGATACTAAAAATGTATACATATTTAGAAAGTTTGAATTTGAATGTTGAATATATTTGGATGGGATGTAGGGTTTTATTTAAACGTGTAAATATTTTTACATTGAATGTATAAACCTGAATATATTTCTACATTGAAAATGTATAAAACAAAAACAAATTTACATTAAAAAAAAATTTAATATAATATAATTCTACATTAAAAATCTATTAAAATGAAAATATATGCACATTGTAAATGTTAAAAACAAAACTAAACACATATTCCAAAATATTAATGTAAAAATTAAGTCATGAGAAATTTTATTGTATAAAATTTAAAATCATCATATTTTATTGAAGAAAAACGTAACTACTACTACTACTACAACTACTTTTAGATGTATAGGATCATAAAACAGGAACAGAAGTGTCACTTCCTCCACGAACCGTCCCTATTCGCATGTTGACGGTGCCAAAATTCATATTTACCATATTTTTCGTTTCTGACATAATCACGTTTGTAAGTCTGTGTGGACGCATCTTGTGTAGAGCATGGCTCCGGGAACACCTTTCTCTGGTAGGTCCCCATCAGGGGCGGCTTGTATTTACCACCATTGGTTTTGTTGATGCTCTTATTATTTTTATTGGCATCACCGTTGTCCATTTTGATGGGTTTTATTTGATTTTCAAGTATACTTTTCTCTGGTTCAGTTTATTAATCACACACTTTAACTTGTTATAATAAATGCAAAATTGACGGAGGTGTTATAATTAACTAATGGTATCAACTGTGATCCGAATATACTATTATGCCCCGAGTTGTTGAATTTATATTGTCATGTGGAATCTTTAAGATTAATCATTAAGATTTTTGTATGCGCACATAATCATTAAGATTTCTGTATGCGCACATAATCATTAAGATTTTTCATACGAATTGTAATTTACTTTTAATTTGTTACGCAATAATTTACACATGATTATTTATGTAGCTTTGATTGTAAACACTTTTATTCCAATTTACCTTCATCATTAAGGGAATTAATCCATCTTTAAGATGGATAGCTATATAAAATCTATAAAGCATATAATAAACATTCATACAATGTTCTCTGCCCAAGAACAACAACAACAATTACCTAATTTACCACAAAAAACAACGATAACAATGTGAATGAAGATGATTGGGTGACAATTCAGAATTTAACTATGACGAAACGGTGAGCTTCAATGCCGTGTGCATAGACGGTCTATGCTGTGTAGGTAAAAGTACGTAGAATGATCAAAGCCAGAGCTCGGTACATTGCAAGGAACAGTCACCCCAGCCCCTGCATGAGCTACCTATACGATTAAATTAAACTGTACGACAGACTGCGTAATTACGTATAATTATTAATAGATAAAACATATTAAATAATATAAATTATCGATAAAAATAGATTTCATGTACATTTATGTAAACTTGATTATAATTTTGAATTTGTGTGTGCCTGACTGCTACTTTCGTAATCAAATTCTGGGTGGGCACGTTAAAAAAAACTTACAAAGAAAAACACCTTAGTGTATATTGAACGTTCATTAGTGTGTCTATTTGTTTAATAATATCCTGTTTGTTTATAATTTTCAATACTCTTGATGTTTTTTGTTGCTTTCGTAGAAACAAGCATCTAATTGATTATAAAATTGAATATTTTCCAATTACATTCAACAAAAATAACGAAAATAAAACAATAATGTTCTAATATATTCTCTCGATGAGCAAAAAACAACCAATCACGTATCGATCACATTCGTCATTATACTCTAAAACCCCATCACGTATAAAAATACAATTTTAATTATTTTAAAATACACAGAAAAACACAAGTTGTGACTCTCATCGTCTTTGTTTGAGTTTAATCATATTATTTAAGTGTTTGATTGTTAATCTTTTGAAATCTAAATCGTGTTAAATGCGATACACTTGAATTGTCGTTTGTATTAAAAATTATTCTTTTTATTTATCACTTCCAACAAAAAACTTAATTGGTAATTAGTGATAAAATTACTCTTATAGCAAGTTTCCTGTTATCAGAACTTACAAAGTGCAATGCATTTAATTTTATTCTTTACATGTGTGTTAATAATTAAAATTCAATTTTTTGAATGGGTGCCATATATATAATTTATAATGCCAATATATCGGCATTGAAAGTAATCGATACTAAAAATGTATACATATTTAGAAAGTTTGAATTTGAATGTTGAATATATTTGGATGGGATGTAGGGTTGTATTTAAACGTGTAAATGTTTTTACATTGAATGTATAAACCTGAATATATTTCTACATTGAAAATGTATAAAACAAAAATAAATTTACATTAAAAAAAATTTTAATATAATATAATTCTACATTAAAAATCTATTAAAATGAAAATATATGCACATTGTAAATGTTAAAAACAAAACTAAACACATATTCCAAAATATTAATGTAAAAATTAAGTCATGAGAAATTTTATTGTATAAAATTTAAAATCATCATATTTTATTGAAGAAAAACGTAATAACAGAAGACACCGATAAACTACTACTACTACAACTACTTTTAGATGTATAGGAACATAAAACAGGAACAGAAGTGTCACTTCCTCCACGAACCGTCCCTATTCGCATGTTGACGGTGCCAAAATTCACATTTACCATATTTTTCGTTTCTGACATAATCACGTTTGTAAGTCTGTGTGGACGCATCTTGTGTAGAGCATGGCTCCGGGAACACCTTTCTCTGGTAGGTCCCCATCAGGGGCGGCTTGTATTTACCACCATTGGTTTTGTTGATGCTCTTATTATTTTTATTGGCATCACCGTTGTCCATTTTGATGGGTTTTATTTGATTTTTAAGTATACTTTTCTCTGGTTCAGTTTATTAATCACACACTTTAACTTGTTATAATAAATGCAAAATTGACGGAGGTGTTATAATTAACTAATGGTATCAACTGTGATCCGAATATACTATTATGCCCCGAGTTGTTGAATTTATATTGTCATGTGGAATCTTTAAGATTAATCATTAAGATTTTTGTATGCGCACATAATCATTAAGATTTCTGTATGCGCACATAATCATTAAGATTTTTCATACGAATTGTAATTTACTTTTAATTTGTTACGCAATAATTTACACATGATTATTTATGTAGCTTTGATTGTAAACACTTTTATTCCAATTGACCTCCATCATTAAGGCAATTAATCCATCTTTAAGATGGATAGCTATATAAAATCTATAAAGCATATAATAAACATTCATACAATGTTCTCTGCCCAAGAACAACAACAACAATTACCTAATTTACCACAAAAAACAACGATAACAATGTCAATGAAGATGACAGCTTAACTATGACGAAACGGTGAGCTTCAATGCCGTGTGCATAGACGGTCTATGCTGTGTAGGT